TGGGAAATGTGAGGGACCAAGAGGCCTTCCTGGAAGAGCTTCCATCATGACCCAGTGTACACATGCATATACATGTATGTGCAGTGTGTTTATACATGTATAAAGTTGTATGTGTTTACTGGTTTGTGATATATAATGGGTGTGTACATGAAACAAAACAACTGTCGGTGTCTAGTGCTCTCCAGGTTTTCTAGATTATTCAAACATATTTCATAAAACAAGTACTTTTTAAAAACGTAGTTATTAAAAGCTGTTTAATTGATTGTATAGTCTACTAATGGTTGCAACCCACAGTCTGGGAAAAGAAAACCTTGTTATAAGGAGCGAGAGGTTTTGATCAGAGAAATGATATCATAATTGGGTTTCTTCAAGATAATTTTGAGAAGCATGTTCATTGTGGATGTCTAGATGAAATATGATTTAAGGAAATTTAAGGTGATATAAGAAGTCTAAGACATTTTACTTGGAGTGAAGAAGAAATAATGAAGTGTTTTAACAGAGTTGTTTAACAAAACTCCAGGGCTAATTGAATGGATATTAAGGAGGGAAATGGCTGCCAAATAACTCCTGCTTTTCTGATGAGTGAGACCTGCAAAGTGATTTTGCCTCTAGTGAAGCAGTGACTGCAGAAGCAGAACAGGTTTGGGTGAGGGGGAGACAAGTTACCCTTTAAATGTCAGTGCTTCTGCAAAAGGGACAGTTGACTCTGTGGTTCTGGAGGTCACTTGAGTTCTGGTCTGGTGACATACAGAGCTGGGAGTCTTTACTTTCGAAGTGGTACTTTAATTATGAGGATGGATGAAATTACTTAGGTACAGACACAGAATGAGAAAAAGAGCTATAAAGACAGAACCTAGAGAGTAGATTTTAAGAGAGAGACAGGGAGGAAAGCTGCCCCCATGAATGAATCCTGAAGGTGTTTGAGAGGCAAGAGGAAGAGGCCAGAAAGTGACAGCGTGCTGTTGAGGGCAGGTGAGGTGTTAAAGGAGGGCACGTCCAGGGGTATCAACACGGCAGAGGCACAGGCAGGTGAGGGCGGAGGGGAGCTGTGAGGTCACAGTGGCCTTAAGCTAGTTAGGGTTGAGTAAAGCTGGACTTACACCCTGGTCCCTAGGGGATACTGAGAGATCCCTCCCTCCCTCCCTCCCCCATCAGGCCTACTGGGGAACCTCCCATTTGCACCGCCAGTAGCCTGGAGCCTCTCCACCTCTCATAGGAATGGTGGACTGAACTTCTCCTCCCACCTGACAGTAATGAGGTGGTGCTCACTGCAGCCGCTGGGGTGTGGTGCCAGAGGAGGCCTACTGGAACACAAGAATTAAGTGACATCCCAGTGTCTCCTAATATTCAAAATGTCTTGATTTCCACTGAAAATTATTTGTCTCACCCAAGAACCAGAGAGATCTCAAACTGAATGATAAAAGACAATCAACAGACAGTCTCCACTGAGATGGGACAGATGTTAGAATTACCTGACAATGTTGTAAGATATCCATCATAAAAAAAATAAAAACTCTTCAGTGAAAAATTATGAACATGTGTGAAATGTGGAAAATTAGAAGGATATAAAGACAAAAGAATAGGAAATTTAAAAACTGAAACTATAATAACAAAAACTTTAATGAATAAGCTCAACAAAGAATGAAGAGTACAGAGGAAAGAGAAAGTGAACTAGAAAATAGTATGTGCATCACTAACTACATCCCATTTAAATGCACTGAATATATCAATTAAAAGACTGAAATTGGCTGAAAGGATTAAATAGCATAACCCCACTATGTCCTGTCTACAGAAAACTCATTTGAAAGATAATGATATATGCAAGTTGAAAGGAAAAGTGTAGAAAAAGATATACCATGTAAATATTAAAAGAAAGCAGGAGGTACTATTTTAGTATCAGATAAAGTAAACATCAAAACAGACAATTACCAGGGATAGAAAGGGACATTATACAATGATGAAGATATGAATCCATCAAGAAGACTTAGCAATCCTAAACTGATATGTGCCATACAACAGAGCTGCAAAATATATGAAACAAAAACTGATAGAGCTAAAAGGAGAAATGGGAAAATCCATAATATATCTGGAGACTTCAATGCCTCTCTCTGAACAGTTGATAGAATAACTAGACAGAATCATCAAGGGCATATAGAAGAACTCAATACCACCATCAACAGGGTCTACTTAACATCAGGGGGTAATATATTCTTATTTATGTAACTCTACTTATCCCCTTCTCAAAGGCACTGCTTTTCCTTTTACAAAATTTAATGGTAATGGAATAAGTTTAGTATGTTATAAAATGTGTCAAAGATTTTCTGGCAAGAAAAACTTTCCTAGACTTTAATTGCCTAACTTTGCAGATGTAGACACCTTTGAGACCTAAGAGACACATTCAAGGACAAGTTCAAACAGTTCTTGATAGCTCAGTCAAAAGATGTTACTTCATACAAATGGCCAACAAGCATATGAAAAGATCCTTGACATTATAAGTCATCAGAGAAATACAAATGAAAACCACAGTGAGCACCACATACCATTAGGATGACTACTATGTTAACTAACTAACTAACTAACTAAGCTAGTGTTGGCGAAAATGTGGACAAAATGAAACCCTTGTGCACTGCTGGTGGGAATGTAAAATGGTCTAGAGTCTATGGAAAACAATATAATGGGTCTTCAAAAAATTAAAACTAGAACTATCATATGATCCAGCAATCCCACTTCTGAGTATATATCCAAAAGAATTGAAAGTAGAGTCTCAGAGATATTTGCACACTCATATTCATAGTAGCACTGTTCATACTTGATGGAAACAACCCAAATGTTTACTGATGGAAGAGTGGATAAGGAAAATGTGGCATATATATAAATACAGCATATACTCACCTTAAAAGGAAGGAAACCTGTCACAGGCTACAACATGGATTAATATGGAAGACATGATGCAAAGTGAAATAAGTCACAAAAAGACAAATACTGATTCCACTTAATGAGGTATCATAGAAAAAGAAAATAAATAATGGTCACCTGGTAGCTGAGGGACAGTAGAAAAGAAAATTGTAGTTTACTAACCAAGTTCCAGTTTTGCAAGATAAAATTCTGGAGATCTATTTCACAACAACTTGTATATATTTAACAATATTGAACTACACTTAAAAATGGTCCAGTTGGAAATTTTATGTCAATGCTTTTTTTCCCCATAATTTTTAAAAACGGTCTTCTCCCTTAGTTCTAATGTATACTACCTTAACAAGCCAAGCTACTGAAAAGTTCAAATGTATTGAACAAAACTTGTTGGATGAAGTGTTGCTCTGTGAATATCATTCAGGTCAAATTCTTTGATAGCACTGTTTGGGTTCCTTTGTCCTCACTGATTTTCTGCCTACTTGTTCTGTCAGCTTTTGAGAAGGTTATTGATTTCCAACAATAATTGTGGATTCATCTATTTCTCCTTCAAATCTTAGCAGTTTTTGCTTTATGTATTCTTAAGCTCTGTTGTTAGGCACATATATGTTTGTGTCTTGCAGAGTCGATCCTTTTATCATGTAGTATTTCTTTTTATCCTTGACAATATCCTAGTTCATAAGCCTACTTTCAAATGAATGTAGCTACTCTAACTTTCTTTTGATTTGTTTGCACAATGTATATTTCTTCACCCCTTTATTTTGAACCAGTTTAATGTCTTTACATTAAAAAATTACCTTTTGTTTTCAAAATCATAGTTGAATCTACAGAACAGGTTAAACTCCTGTATTTTGTTTACATTTTAGTTAATTCTATTTCATACTTAAGTAATCTACTTTTTTTTTGCAGTACGGATTTTATAGTCATTTGTTTATACTCTTGAAATTCTTTATATTTTCAGGAGGCCTCTTGACATTTTATAGTTATACTTTAAAACAAATTTCTTTCAATAAAATTACACTGTCTGCAAGTTTTGCCTTTCTGATGTAAATTAGTATTCCAGATAAAAAAGAAAACCTAACAAAATCTGTCATTTAAAAAGAAATCTGTTATATTTGTTAGAAGTTAAAAAGAGGAAACTTTTTTTAAAACTTCACTTTTAAAATAAGTAAAATGGCTGCTACCAGAACTGTTCCTCGTTTTTGACAAGTCAGGAACAGACATTTAAATAAATGCCTAAATTGCAAGTAGAAGGGCTTTGCAAAGAAGAAAATTATCTTAGTAAAAATTACTTTCTAAATTACATATGGTTGCAAATGAGCCTTAAAATCATCTTTTCATCCTACATTTAAAGAAGTCATGATTTGATTGTTAGATTGTCTACTTTTATGAAATGGCAAATGAACAGCTTTACCATGACATCATTATTTAAGGGATTTATACACTGGAAGAAAAAAATGCTCATAAATGGGAGAAATTCCCACAAGTTTTTTGTAATAAATTTGGATTTTCCCTTTAGTTCTCAATTGAGAGTTATGGCTATTCTAATTGAAATCAATAGTTCTGACACACATATGTAAAAAATCCAGAACTATATATATTTAAACCCCTATAAATAGTCACAGAAAGGCTTAATATGTTTATCAGATCAGAAAGACAAAACAAATTACTTTAACAGTCATGGATTTGTTTATGTAGAAAGTAGAAAGTTGGTTTTCTTAAATCACAAATAACTTTTTAAGTTGAATTAGCACTTTGTTTATTTATCTTAGTTTTACAAAGGGGCCATTGTAATTTGGGCTGGTAAAAGCTGCATGGTTATTCCATTACAGTATGATTCTCCCTAAATTCAAATCTGATCTGTTCACTACATGCTCTGATTTGAAGATATTATTGTAGAAATCAGCAGTTTGTGTTAAACTGTCATGAGCTGATTCATTGCCTTATAATATCATTTGTGGGGCCACACTGAGTTGTCTTAAAGCAAGAAGTCTGCAAGTTACATCTTTTTCATCAGCACTTGAGCTTTATAATTAACAAATATGATAAAAGTGACACATCTCGAAGATGTGCTCTTTGGGACATTTGCTGTTTCTGTGCAGATATCACAAGGCTCTCAGACTGTCCTCACTTTAATAAAAAATATGGTTATAAGCATGAATTTGCATAACTCCTTTGTGGGAGTTTGGGACATAGACAAATTTACCATATCATAATTTACTTTTGTGATGTAAAGAACCAGTGCTGTTTGTTCTGATATAGACCTATAGAGGAACAACTAAGGCAAGGGAAAACTAGAACTCATGCGAGGTCCCTATCATGAGTCATTGTTACAACCTTACCACTGTGCAGGTTCTATTTCTTCTTCTTTTTTGTAAAAACCAGAATATGCATCATTTATTAACTGTTTAAAACTAAACATTACACAAAGATAATAGCTTGAGATGCAATGCACATACCATACAATTCACCTATGTAAAGTTTATAATTTAGTGGGTTTTAGTATATTCAGACAGTTGTACCGCCATCACCACAGTCAATATTAGAACATTTTCCTCCCCCAGAAGAACCCCAGAATCCATTAGCAGTAGCTCTCCAACTTCAGGCAATTATTTCTCCTTTCTGTCTGTGTGGATTTGCATATTCTGAATATTTCATGTTATGTGTAAAGTCTTACAGTTTATGGGCCTTTGTGACGAGCTTCCTTCACTTAGCATAATATTTTCAGGGTTCTGTTGTAATAGCATGATCAGCATTTCATTCCTTTTGATTACTGAATAATATTCCATTTTCTGGATAAATTACGTTTTATTTTTTCTTTCATCAGTTGATGAGCATTTCTGTCATTTACATTTTTGGTTGTTATAATGTTGCTATGAGTGTTTGATGAATGTACCCTTGTTTTAAAAGATTGGCTCTTTCAGATCATAGTTTTACTCTCAGATACCACTTTTCATTACTTGAGAGTAATCTGGTAATTATTGTTGTCAAGAATATGAAGTAAACTTTGCTAATAACTTCAGTTGTAAGGAATAAATTGATGTGCATAAGAGACACTTGATCATTTTGACTATTTTTAGTATAAACTATTAAATATACTATATTTAGAGTTATTTTTTATAAAATAGATACTTGGTGCTTGAAAAACTGAAGAAAGAAGAGGCTGACCGAATACATATATTCAGTTCTTTTTTCTATAAACACCTTAATCAGAGAGAGAGGAGAAATCTTCATGAAACAACTAATCTGTCGTAAGTCAATCTCTTTGAATATTCAACAGATGTAATAAGACACTCGAGTTCAACTTAGTAAAATTGTTTGTATTTAGGCAGTTTTTAAATTCTATAATCAATTAGCAAAATCAATATAATTCATACTATTATAAAACCTCAAGAATACCTTGAATTCATAAAGGTTTTAGATCTAATATCTAGATCAGTATTTTCCAAATATGCCTGATAGTTTAAAAACAGTTACTTAGATACTCAATTAATACAGGTTAGTCTGTTTTCCTCTGGGTATTCCATCTATAATACCTAAGAGTGGAACCTGTGAATTTGTACTTTTAATAAGGTCTTGGGATAATTCTTATAAGACCTGTTAGGAAAAAATACTCTGTGTGTTAGACCTGAGCTGCTTTGTTGATGACCTGTCATTGCAGTGACTGTGTCTGGCTCTGATGCTCGATGGTGATTGGTCAAAGGCACAGAGTTGGTACATTCTTTTGTCGTAATGTGCTGTTAAATGTCTTGAACTGATGGCAGCTCTGTGTAATATAACTAATATTTTCTACTATTTCACAGATTGCTAATTGCGCCTCTCAGGGTTAGTTGGTCCTCCTCTGTAATGTGCAATTATGCCTGCTTTTCCAGCGCTCTTCCCTCAGTCATCCCAGGGTGCACATCTGATGTGCCCCCAGCAGGGTGGGGTGCTGTGCACTATGTGGTACAGCTGAGTGCCGGCTCCGCCGGGCCACCGAGTGAGTAGGAGCAGGAACTCAGTCTCTCTCTTCCAGATTCGGTCATGAGCAGTTTCGCGCCTCCTAGCTCCATCTCAGATGTTCGGTTTCCTTCCCGCAACTTGTTAAATCATGTTATGCAACTGTTTGCTCTGTTAACATCTAAATCTTCGTATTTACAAATTGCTGCATATAAACCCAAGCAGTAGCACATCTCAGAGGCTTGATAGTTTTTCTCTTGTCTTGCAGAATCCAGCAAAAGCGACATGGGAGAGTTAAAACGTGGACCCGGCATGTAGATATATTTGAGAAGGATTTTATTTTTGTACCCATTAATGAAGAGTGAGTCATAATTTCCTTTATGTTGAATGTGATGGCAGTTTTTAGAAAATGTGTGTATGAGGTGAAGAATTCATCCATCTTTAAACCTATGTCTGAAATTTGTATAGTTCTGTATGTGTACTGCTTATTTATGAAAATTAATGGAGTTCTGCAGTGACTCATGTACAGTACTGAATTTTACAACACTGGGCCAGATCTTTCTAATCCATTGTATTCATTCAATGTGGAATAATGTCACTTTTTAAAAATGGTGTTTCTGTGGCCTGGCAAACAGCCTATAGAGACTATACAAAAAGATGGTTAGGTCACAGAATTTGAATCTTTAAAATACATTTTGGCTCTTAAATAAAAAGAAGAAACCAAAGGATTTCTGTCCTTTGCTCAAGTTGAAAACCAGAAAGCTGATTTCTTGAAACGATTTTAGAGGTAAATGGGATAAACATTTTGTTATTCTCCCTCAGTGACTAGAGACACAATGATGTGTAGAATAGGATTATTATATAATTTAGAGTTGAGAGTTGTCCTATTTCATTTTGGTTTTGTTTCTCATGCCCTCCAGCCAAAGATAACTTTGGTTTATTACTTATTCAGGGGAGAACACACACCATGGGCAACCGCGGAGCCCCTCAGGAAAGTGTGTTTGAAAAACATACAGCAGACTGTGGGCTTTGGTTTGAAGATTTGGAGGAAGGTGTAAGGAAGCAGTGGTTACTTGGGTAAAGAGCCAGCACTCACTCACTTAGCGAAAAAGGGAGATAGCTGGTATTTTGGGGGTTCCACGGTGACCTCATGTTTGTCTCTGCTTAGACAAATTGGAAAATGGCCTTCTTTTTCTCATTTTATCATGGGTGCAGAGTAACCTTGTCTGAGGTTGGTTTCTGTAAGATTGTTTATGTCTGATAAGCCTAGCCATGCCAGGCTTGCTTCTGAATGTGCTCTTTTTTTATTCTTACTACCAAAAGCAAATTTGTTCTGTAGTATAATCAAAGTCTGTTTATTTAAAAATCATGCTTTTATCATAAAATCTGTGCTAATAAGCCCAGCCAAAGATAGGTGAGCTAGGTTAAAACATTTGGTTATGGCTAAAAAGCCCAATTTCTTCAAAGCTATATATTTAAGTCAAACATAGTATCATAATAAAGTTTAAAACTAACCTTTGATTTCTTCATGCTCCTTAGAATAAGGTTTTTTGACACTAATCTGTCATACAAAGCAACGTGTGAGCTGCTTGCTAGGTGAGAGGGAGGATATACACAGCATTTGTCAGAAATGAACTGTGAAAATTCACAATAGAAATAGAATTCAGGGCAGCCCAGGTGCGCCCCACTTGGTCGCTGTATCTCACACAGACGGAAGCTGCCGATGTTGCTTCTCTCACCTTGGTGACAGGTGGCGAACAAAGGTGTACTGTCCTGTGAAGGACTAGGAGGAGACCTGTGCCCTTTCTAGACAGAAGGGTCACCTTCCAGCATGAGGCATGAGGGCTCTTTTTTTTGAAGAGGTAAAGCCATAAATATTCATAGACACTAATAATTATATTAGATAGGCTGCCATATACTAGTCATCTATTTTATTTTCAATTTTCTTGGTGGCATTAACTTCTTTAAACTTGAAAGATTATAAGCTATTGTTAAAAAATTGTCCCAGTAATTGACAAGGAGCAGAAATATAACATTTAAATCTAATCCACATCATAAGATAAGTGAAATTACCTGTTTTAGCCTCTCCTCTCATTGTTGATTCAAGGTCAGTGTAGCTGCTGTTTAAAGGACTCAAAATATAAGCTCTGGCTCTCAGAGGCTGAACTGGCCTCAGTGGCTCTAATGCAGCTTTCTCCTCTCAGCTGGGTGAAGGTAGAGTTTCCCTGGTTTTTAGGTGAGGCAGCAGAAAATGTATGGCTTATCCATATTGTCTGTCGTAACTCGGAAATGTTAAGTATGTTAGACTTAGGTTACAGCTGTAGGTACAAAGTCCCTGTATTATACTGTATTCAATCAATTTTTAAAACACGCTTTTCCACATTTTAGTATTCTGAAATAGAGGTGTGGCTCCGTCTCCTTGTATTCCCATGAGAAGCGGAGGCAGCTGGTGTTGCCCCGCCCACTGCCCGGCCCCCCTTGAGCCCGCTCACGCTGACCCCTTGACAGAGAGAGGCCTCCTCCCTCTGGCCTCACAGCCCTGAAGCCAGCCTCGGACCTTTCAGCCTGGGCTGTCTGCTGAAGACCCAATGCTGTGTTTTAGTATTACCTCAGGGAAGTTAGCGTTTTGCAGAAATGAGAACACAGAATGACTTTTATCCATGTCAAGATACTCGTTTTTCCAATCAGCAAATACCTACTGGACACCCTTCTATATGACAAATACACTCAGTTAGGAAGTTCTCTGACGACCTGTCCTAGCACATAACACCGTGCCGAGCAGGTAGTGAGCCCTTACGCAGTTCTTCCTGGGTTAGTGGGCAGTAGCCGACTTCAGTGGTGCAGTGTCTTACTCATGGCCCATGGCCTACTGTTTGGACAAGGAAGGATTTCATATCTTCAGTATTAAGCAATTCCTACTTTATTAATAAAAACACAGATGTGATGAAAAAGCTATATATTATATATAATAGATTCACAAAATGTTTACTATTATACAGTCTAATTAGACTAATTTGGTCTTGAGGCTAATTTTCTGTCCTTTGACATGAATAAGCCAGAGGGAAGGTAAATGGGAATGATGAATTAGAGTGATATAATTTACATGTTGTTAAGTTGCCTGAAAAAAATGATGAATTTTTCACTGGGAAAGCAAGAAAAGGTTCAAAGGATCACTTCCAAAAGTGGATGCAGGATACATAATTCTTAACAAAAATTATGTTATTTTTGAGTAGACATTGTATTCTGTTAATAAATCAATGACCATATAAACAGTGTTTTTTTAATGGATTAATTTCAGAATTGAAAATATTGGGCATTTTTAATTTGTTCACAAAAGTTTTAGAAAAAACATTTCAATTGATATTTGTTGCCAAATAGAATAAACTTTTCTAATAATGTATTCAGTAGTTTCATTTGTTTTTTACAGTGCACACTGGTTTTTGGCTGTTATATGTTTCCCTGGTTTGGAAAAACCAAAGTATGAACCTAATCCTCATTACCATGAAAATACAGTCATGCCAAAATGTCCAACTGTAGAGGATAGTTGTATTTATTCTCCTTCAGCCAGTGAAACGGACAGTTGTTCACAAAACTCTTCTGTCAAGCCTGTATTTAAGAAGATGCTAAAGAGAAAGCATTGCATAGATGTAATTGATTTAAGTGCTGAACAGGAAGAAAGTGACCCTCCTTATCAGAGAAACATGTGCAGTGTGAAATGTAGTCTGGAAAAGATAAATCATACTGCAAGTGAAAATGAAGAATCGAATAAAGAAGAATCTGCATGCCAGAAAGTTATTAATAGGAGTAAAAGTGAGAATGGTCTACAGAATGAATATTTAAGTTCTATGCACCATACAGGTATGTTTCTAATACTTTGAAAAAATCAAGGAATTCCAAATAAGTTGGATATTTTTATAAACAGGATTAAGATTTCAGGGTGCAGTTTTTTTTAAATGTTTAAGAAGATAAATTTTAATGTGTATTTTACCACAATTAAAAAAACTCAAGACAGCCCAATAGGTGTGAACAAATGCTACTGTAAAAAATAACTTAAAGATTTAAAAATCATAGTTACATATAGGTACATAGATTACAGAGTCAAATACATCCAAAGCCTTAAAAAGCTCTAAAAGCTTCTCCACTTCTCCCCTGAAGCAAACACTTTCAACTGGATTCCTGGGTATTTCTGTCCACATTTCTAAGTGACATATTGCTGCTCCTTGATTCTGATGTTTCATTTTTGGGTGACATCCATCGCCTTCCAGCATGGAAGGGGAGGCTGGCACCCCGTCACCACTGCTTCACACGTCCTTCCTGGCTCTCAGGGTGCAGGTTTTTTTAAAGCCAGATTGATTGAGGTATAATTTACTTACAGTAACATTCTCTCATTTTATAAGATTAGCTCAGTGAGCTTTGATAAATGCATACAGTCATGTAATTACTACAACAATCAAGATTTAGAACTTCCCATCACTCCAGAAATTCCCTTGTGCCTTCTTACAGTCCATCTCCTTCCCCACCTCCTCTAGAGCACAGTTCTAAAATTGTACCACAAGGTCTACATTTCCCATTTATAAGAACCTCAATCTATTTTTTATTTCACAGGAAATTATAAATAGTAGTTGGACAATCTTAGATAAGTAAGACAAATTAGTTCAGTCTTCTCAATTTACAGATGGGCAAATTGAGATCAAGTGGCAATAAGCAGAAATTAAAGTTTCTCTTCCAAAATAGTTGTTAACATTCAAATTAAATGTTAGTTACTTATTCTGCCCTCTTCCTTGGGATTTTTTAGTGTAAAGAAGGATACTGGTCCAACCTCTGCTTTTTTATTCACCTTGAGTTCTAATATACTGCTTTTTTTCTTTGAGTGAGTTCAACATTCCCAGCACTAGTTACAGATATCTCAGGTTTCTCTTCAAATACTTAAATTTCATATCTAATCAATTGTATAGTTATCTCTCCAACCCAAAGTAAAATGGTCTTGTAACACCCATAACATGCTATAATATGTGCTTTATAAACTTATTAAAAAGTGAATAAGTCTAATACATTTTCTTTGGAGTTCAAAATCAGTATAAAGCTTGAAAAATCAGGAATTCAGAAAGAACCTTTATCAAAACTTGTAACTGCTGAACACACTTCTGATACCTCTGCCAGCTCAGTAAGTCAGAAAGCTCTTGAGAAGCTGCCATGAGTCCTGGAGGGCTGATCTTTGCCCCTCTGAGGGAGGCACATGGTAAGAGGCTGGAAGGGGAGATTTAGCAGATGGTACAAAAAAGTGCACCAAAAAACAAGCAGAGAAATACCTCCTCTTTTCCAGCTCACTTTCTTTTCCAGTCTGTTTCTTCAAGCAGGATATGAAATGAAGATAGGCAAAGTAGCAATTCTTTCTCAGTTTTAGTATTTTAGTACTTGAGTAGAAAGAAGTTAAAAGAGGCAGTAAACAGTCATGATAGGGATTAATTACTACTTTGGGCATTCTGAAGACTCAGCCTTCAAGGCGGTGTACACCATTTTCTCATTCCCTTTGAAACAGCCCTGCCAGGTAGTGTATGAGAAGATGCTGGACATTACTAGTCATGAGGGAAGTGTAAACAGAACCACAGCGAGATTCTTCTCAATCCTGTAGTAGCGTGGCTGGAACCACTAAGTCAGGCACTAACCTGGTCAGTATTGATGAGGATGTGGAGAAATCGGAGCCCCTGTATATTATTAGTGGGAACGCAAAATGGTGCGGCCGCTGTGAGGGCAGTTTGACAGCTCCTCAGAAGGTGAACACAAAGTCAGCATGTGACCTAGAAACTGTTTTTAGATGTACACCCAGGAGAAATAAAAACATATGTTCATACAAGAACATATACATGAATGTTCATAGCAGTGTTATTTGTAATAGCCGAAAGATAGAAACAACCCAAATATCCATCAAATGACAAATGGATAATCAAATGTATATTCATCCCGTGGGATATTATTAGGCAGTGAAAAGAGACAAAGGACTGACATGTGCTACAAGGTGGATGGATCTCAAAAGCAGTATACTAGGTGGAAGGCATCCCCCAAACCACATATTATATGATTCCCTTTGTCTGAAATTTCCTAGACAGGAAAATCTATAGAGTACATTAGTGGCTATTTAGGGCTGGCAGGGTGTTGGAGGGCAGAAATGTGGGGAGAAGGGCGTGATGGCTGGAGGGCACAGGGCTTGCTTTTAAGGTTTAAAACATCTTGAAGATAGTTGCACATATGTGCATATATACCAAAAACCACTGAATTGTACACTTTAAATGGGTGAATTGTATAGTATGTGAATTGTATCTCCATAGAACTATTTTTTAAAGTTCTCCTTTGATCAGTAATCTTATACACTTTAATGTGAATTCCGATTGAAGTGCATGACTTAAAGCAATGGGACAAAGCCTAAGGCTTTGTATATCCAAACCCTAGGGACTCCTAGTGGCCCTCTCCTGCAAGGTAATGTTCTAGTCAACGAGTAGTCAGTTAGATTGGAGTAGATACCCTCACAGATCCTAGTGGAGATGAAAGGAAAGAACCATCTGTTTTATGTGATTTACTCAAAACAGATGGTTCTTTTAAAAACATAGTTTTGTTTTTGTTTTCAGTGTGTGTGTAACCATATCCACTATATCTCCTTAAAGGAAATTAATTTATCTTTATTGTGTGTGATACACTGATATTTTCTATTATTTTTAATGCTTGTCTTAACCCAGTAATGACAGCGTCCCACAGATGGACAAGCAGTGCTCAGAGTAGGCCTGCACATTTCTCAGGAATGAGGCCCCAGGCTGTCCTCAGATTTCCAAGGGGTCACTCCCCTAAACGCACGCTCAGTCAGAGTGCTCCCAGAGGTGTTGTTACTGCCTCGGGTGAGCAGGCTGTCCTGTGCAAGGTGATGACACTAACACTCAGGACCAGAAGAGCATGTAAGAGTTTTGATTACGATTCATATCTCAATAATTATTTGTTTGGTGTGGGTTAGAGTTGACAGGATTTATTTTAGCCATTGAACACATAACTCGCAGTGTTGACCACTCATGTCAAATAACATGCTGTTGTCAAGAGATGGACTTATATCCCAGTGATTCGGTTTTTAAGGTCATCAGTAGGAAAATACTAATGTGTGGTATCACTACTTTCATTTGCTGTTTTCTCAGCTGGGCATCATAGAAAGAGCCACTTTGCTGTGGTACACGAAAACTGTGTGTGTGTGTAAACTCTAGAACCCCACTCAGCACCTCCACATGATGTCACTGTAGTAGAGGCTCTCGGGAACTGGGACTGATTCCTTCTCAGTTTGCACCAGGACATTCCTTTACTGAACTAAAATAATTGAAGGAATTGACTACACCCTTTGCATTATTTTTCTCCCTTTTTTGAAATGTACATACATTAATATGTATAACGTTCATATTTACATGACAAAGTTTCTATAGATAGGAACACTTGCCGCTAGAAAAACTTGTTTGTAATTGACCCTTTCTGAGTTGCCTGATGATTTGGACAAATTTATTCAAATCTACGTATTGTAGCATCAAACAAACATAAAAATACAGCTTTTTGAAAAAGATAAATTGAAAAGGCTATTCTGTGCATAACAAGAGGATTTGCTGTAGTATTTTATTGATTATTTTATGTGGTATGTTGCAGATTACAGCATTTAGTTGTATATATGTACACTTTCAGGAGCACATTTTATTTTGCTGTCTTCCCATCCCATCTTATATTAATATTCTTTATTCCCTTTTAATAACTTATATACCAAACTTAATTTCATCCTGCCTAAAATACCTTAAAGTTGTGCTTTTTAAAACTTGGAAGTGGTATGATCTATAGTAAACAGTATGTTTGGAATTGAAGTCCCTGATTCAGGTTTCTTTATTTTCATGTAAGTCTTAACGTTTTTTGGAAACATTTTGTGTGATTAGCTTCTTTTTATTATTTGTCCAAAAGCAAGCCTGTTTTGCTTAATTGTAATCATGTTTACTTTTTTTTACCCTGTATTGTATAGTTTTCCATATTTTCCAATTTTGATTTTTGAAATGTACACTATTTCCATTTTATATTCTACAGTTTGCTAACTATTCCTGTTATTGGACATTGAGGTTGTTTTCAGACTACTGTAGCTTTTGTTATTAGTTAAATATCTGGCATATCTTATACAAAAATATCTATAGCCACTAAAACAATTGGTACCAGTTTTTAAATCGTAATGAATTTTAGAGTCTCAGTAGCAGAAACAGCTCCATAATTGACATTGTCATCCAGGTTTTTATTAAAAGTAGCTTACATTTGTGATACTGCATGCTAAGACAGATTTTGTATCCATAATGACTAAGTACTTGACTGCTAGCACTAATTTTCACACCACATGCTGTAAGGTATATACATGTCCTTTCCTGAATGACATGTTTCTTACTGATGCAGATGGCTTGAGCAAAATTAGACTGAACGAGTCAGCCGAAGGCAGTAAAATGCTTGAAGATGAGCTCATCGACCTCTCAGAGGATCAAGATAACCAGGTAAAACCTAATGCTTGGCAAAAAGATCTGATAGTTTATCTAATGAAGAGTTTTTCTTGTGAGTTCTATAGGTGATTCCTTTCAACCAGTAGCTCATGCCTTCTAGATACGTATCTCATCTCAAAGTACAAATTCAGTTTTCGACTCAGAAGTTGCCAGGATAAATGTGTTAGTGTTGTTTTGGGGTGTCTGGTTTGGTTTGGGTCACTGTGGGCTAAACTGATATTACCTCAGAAAATTTTAATATAGAACTAATCATCTTACCCCAGCATAGCCACCCCCACCCCCAGCACCCCTTTCTCAGCTCCTTTAAAGCATTTATGGGCCACACTTTGGTCTCACTTAACCTTCAAGAGGCAGATGTTTAAATTTTTTATTATGTAGTGCATGACTGAGCAAAACTATATATATTTTTCACTTTTCCAGTGGTTCTTTCTCTTTTGCCCAGTTTAAGGTACATGTATCATGGCAGGAGCCGTGAAATAAGAGAGTTTTTTCCCAACATGCACAGACGCAATACACAGATTGTGGTCAAGGTCTTCAATGAGCACTTACTTGCCTGTCCTTGATCAGAACAGTTGTGCGGACCAGCTCATCTAACAATATGTAGTATTATTAGCCTTAATTATCGTTATTTCTACTATGGATTATTTCATTTCTAAGGTTGCCACAGCTTTCTCAGGGAATAAAAAACAACTCTTTGTTTTACATTCAGGATAGTAGATAAGATGCAGTATCATTAACCTGTCGTCTCTCAAGTGAAGTGGATATATGGTTTTGTCAAGGAAAACTGTTTTCAAAATCCCTTTAAATATTTTATTTGAAAAAATTATTTACATAAAAGAGTAATAACTGTAATTCGTTAATGTCCTATTATGAAGCAGCTATCTTAGCCAGTAAACTGTATTTCTATAAAAATACCTAAAAGAGCAGTAATATTTGACTGTAGAAGAATCAGCGACAGTATATTCAGTATTTAAAAGTTTATTTGAGGCTGAGTAAATAGATGTACCAATTTTTCGTATACTTCTTACCAGAAGTTTCTTTTCATTAAAATGTCAGTGTGTAGCATAGATAATAGGAATCAAGTGACATACCACGTGTTCTAATGTCTCATCACCTCAGTAGTGCTGCTCTGTTAGGTTGTCAGTCGTTCACACTGTTTTCAGCACTGACAGTAGACTCTTCATAGGATGACAGCAGTGATGATGGATTCCTTGCTGACAACAACTGCAATTCAGAAATAGGACAGTGGCATTTAAAGCCTACTATCTGTAAACAGTAAGCATTAACTGTATATCTTGCAAACTATGTGATAATTTTTATTTATGTACTCTCACAGGATAAAGCATAATTGGAACAGTGTTTATTCAAACAAGTACTTAAGCAAAAGTCAGGGTTGGTAAGGAAAATTGAGTCATGCCCGCTGTCCAGGGATCAGATTGGGGAGATCAGACAGTCGTTTTGGTTCATGTATGTGCATGCGTGCACACATACATCTCCACAGAGAACCATTTCCTTTTGGATATATGGTGATTTGGAGCAGAAAAGGACAAAGAGTTATCATTTGCCTTCCAATCCATAACAAGGGAATCAGAGCTTATACTGGGTCCACAGCTCCTGTGTGGGGCTGGGGAGTGACCTGAGGCAGTCCTGACAGGGCATGATGAGGTGGGAACCCCTAATAAGGGAGTCTGTTTTCTTGGTTCTCAGAATTACATGTTCTGACATCTTTCCAGGATCTCCAAACTTCTTACATGATGAAGTATTACCTATTTCTAGACTTCATCTCTTTGAACTTTTTTGGTAGAAAATGTTGGGTGAAATTCCATTAATAGCTTTTGAGAAGCAAACTTCATTTATAAAGAGATCTCTAAATTGTATAAAATTGTAGGCAGGAAGAAGCTAGATCTTTAAACATTCCAAGACCCTTTGCACTGTATTAGATTTCCTCACTTATATGGGTTTACAACAAAATTTTGAAGGTTGAATATTATTTATATTGAGTTTTCTAAAGTAGTCTTGCAAAACACACTGTATTCTAACCTAACTCTTTTATGTTATGATTACCTGTTTTGTTACCTGTAATGGGTTTTAGTTAAAACTAGGGTTATTTTTCTTTTACTTCTCCATGGTCCCACTTTTGGTGATTTGGAATATGGTGATGTTCAAATTTTCATAATTGTTTTGACTTTCTCCTAAATTTTAAAGTGTTTTTAGGAACCAACTATAGAACTTTAGTGAAATGTAAATTAATATTTTATAGTTTAGTGTTTAACATAACCTTAGATTTTTAAATATTGGTGGGGGGTGTCTGTGAGGTTTATTTACTCTTTCCCCTGAGTTTCACTGAGGCATACAAAGGGCTTTAAATTTTTTGTTAATGTACATCTTTTTATGCCTTTTAACACTATGAAGTACTAATATTTGGACATTTGTACCCTGCAGACCTTGTATTCTACTGATGGACTCACTCAGAGGCCCTTCTCGGTCAAATGTTGTAAAAATTCTAAGAGAGTAAGTTCAAAACCATACCCCATACTTCATATTCTACTGGGAATGAGAGGCTCGGTCTGTTTTTATGTATGTGTATTCTTACTAACATGCATTCTTACAGGTATTTAGAGGTGGAGTGGGACGTTAAAAAAGGAAGCAAACGAAGCTTTTCCAAAGATGCCATGAAAGGCTCGAATCTGAAGGTCCCCCAGCAAGACAACTTCAGTGACTGCGGCGTGTACATCCTGCAGTACGTGGAGAGCTTTTTTGAGGTGGGTTTCAGTGTGTTGGATCAGATATAATAAATAACAAAGTAGTGTATTTGACTTGATGTTAGTGTAAAAAATACCGTAACCAAGTATTTTAAAGAGTCTAGAAATTACCATTTCAGAAATTATCCTAGGGAGCAATAACTCCCAAAACAGAGAATTTTTAAGGCATAGAAAGACTGTGTTTGTGCTTCATCAGATCCAAGGCTTGTTGACCTCACTCCTCACCACTGATCGGGTCTCCCTGTCCGCTGGTTCTTTTGACTTTAAGAAACCCGTCCCCTCATTTGGACTGCCTCCTTCCCCCTCGTTTTTCCCCTTCACAGATACATTTATTTTTGGAGGTGTTTCTATTCGCTGTCCATTTCCACAGACCCCACTTTCCCCTCAGATCTCTGTAGTCTGGCTTCACTCTCGCCCTTACACTGACACTGGGCTGTGCCCCCAGGGCCTCCTGACACCACTGGCCACCCCCTCCTCTGCACTCTCTTCTCTGACTTGGGAGGCGCAGCACCACGCATCCCTGTCCTGGGTGCTCTTTACGGTTGTGCGACAGCATCCTCTTCTTCCTCCACACCCCGTGTACCACCAAGCCCCGTCTGCTATCTCCCATGTCCACCCCTGTGGCCCCGGTCCAGGCCCAGTACGCCACTGCCAACGCCAAGCAGCGCCCCCCAGCCTCCAGCTGCGCCTGCTGCCTTCCGGTTTTCACAAACCCAGACCCGGTCATGTTGCTCTTCTGCTTTAACTCCTGCCGCTGTTGGGGGAAGACCAAACTCCAGAGCGTGGGCCGCGCGATCGATCCAGCTCCAGCCTCGTGCCCAGCGTCGCAGCTCTGCGTTCTGTCCCCTGCGTGCCGCGCAGTCCCACGCTGTGCTGCCCCTCCTGCCTCCAGGCCTGGAGAGCCATTTCCTGGCCTGCAGCACCCTTCTCCTGTCATTCCGTATTTGGCTGCCTCCTACTCGGTCAGGTCTTAGTGCAAACAGCCTTCTTCTAGGGACTGTGTGAAGCCCCCAGACATGTGTTCTTGAAGGACTCCATGCTTCCCCTCATAAAAAAAAGTATCAGATTGTTTTAGTCGTTACCTGTTTATCTAGACTCGGATCAGCAAACTTTTTTTTTTTTTTTGGACAAACCTTTTTATCAAGGGCCAGGTAGTAAATATTTTACTCTGCAGCCGTGTGGTCTCTGGTCCTCTTCAGTTCCACTATTATGGCATGTAAGCCTCCACAGACGCCACGTAAATGAGTTAGTGTGGCTGTGTTCCAGTAGGGTTTTATTTACAAAAGCAGGTAGTAGGCGTACTTGGCCCACTGGTCAGCCGTAGTTCACTTATCCCTGATTTAGATGATAAGGTCCGTAGGCAGAAACTGCCTCACATCACCAGTGTCCAGCACAATGCCCTGGCTTGTGATAGATAATGAGTAAAATACTAAATCAGATTTTGATTTTTCATTTTTAACTCTGGAATGCTTTTATGATTGAAACTAAAATATTACTTGCCGTAATTTTCTAATCTGCATTTGATGTTTTTCTCTGCAGAATCCAGTTCTCAATTTTGACCTACCTATGAATTTGGCAAACTGGTTTCCTCCCTCAAGAATGAGAACAAAAAGAGAAGAAATCAGAAACATAATTCTAAAGCTGCAGGAGGATCAGAGCCGAGAGAAGCAGCAGCGTAAGGACCCGCACTCGGCATCTCCGACTGACCCGCTTCCGGGGCTCGTCAGTTTCCTCCAGAAGCTGCGAACTCCAGCGTGGGCTGTAGATAGTGAAGAACGGTAGTGCTCACTACTCAGTGATCTGGAAATGTTAATGCTTGTATAAATGTCATGTAATTAATTTCCAATGGAGTATGCATTAAATAAAAGTCTGTAAATATGTTAATGAGGCCAATTTTTCCAGCATTTATAATTATTTTTTTCACTTGTTAGGAAGCTTTTGTTATGTATTTTCTGTTAATAGTACTTTAAAACTGCAACTTCTAAACACAAAATGAAAAGAAAATATTTATAGGAGGAAATGATTAATTTGATATTCTTCAGTGAACTTGTATTAAATTCCTCAGTGGGTATGATATATTTCATGGGGATATTTGAGTATCTATGATAACCCTTTTGACCTCTTGCATTTATTCTAAAATTACTCAAAATAGGAAAGTAAGATTAAATCTAAGGCATTTTGAACAAGAAAGACATCATGCTTGTGTAGCCAGAAAAAAATGACAGATTTTTAATTCATAAACTCCTTTGTGTTCAGAGACCCCAAAAAGGTAAAAAAATATTTATAATTCTACACAAATATTTAAGAAGCACTATTCAGAGCAATTCAAAGAAAACTAACCTTGAATTATCCTGCTAAGTGATAACTATACTTTATCACATAAACACTGCTAAGTGTTTATCACATGTTGTCAAGGGTGTTTCTGAAGACGTCAAAGACTCAGGTTAAAACTGTTTTGGTAAGTGTGGTTTGAATTTCAAATATCCCACATTATCTTTCTGTATCATAGCTTGAAGTATGCTACAACCTGTGTGGTAGAGTCAGCTGATAAACATTTTTAATCTGTGAACACAGGAATTGAAATAGGAATTTACTATTTTTTATAATGGCTTTTGCTATTTTTTCATTGCTCATTTGTTCTTGTTATTTTGATAAACAGACTTTTGGGGCTTAAGTTTTTTAGTGTAAATTATTTTTACGTGTGAAAGTACTGTATTGCACAATGCATAAAAAAATCTGCCTTTTGAACTCCCCTTTAAAATTACTAAGACATGATGGTTTTGATGACGGATGTAGAACTGCATAGGGATCTTGCTTATGTCTGCTGAAACTATTCTTTTCAAATGTTTTACACCCTTTCAAAGAAACTTTGAGACTTGAAATATATTTTTTGAAAGTCATTATTTTTAAAATTTCATTTAAATAATGAATTTTAAAATGCACTTGTAACAAGTGGAGAATAAAAGGAAGGTTATTTTTATCAGCAGCAAAAATTATGTTATATTTTTAGTCTAGCATTGCACACAACATTTTAGGGTATTCTCTTGAGTTTAATATAAAGTCTATGTGGGAATATGGGATGGATGGGGTGTTGTTAACAGCAACCAGAAAAAGTCTATTGAGACATACTCATCAAGGTAAACAATGAAGTGTAAACTTAAGGTCACCAGAAGTGGTATCAATTATAGATTTGTTACTTCATTGAATTATTGTAACATTTCCTATTTTTGATAGAATTATTTCTTTTTTAAAGGAATACTCTAGGTCTGTTAGCTCAGATATGAAGAAATAAGAGCTTATTATTTATTGAGTATGGACCCAAAAACATGGAAATTGTTTTTTAAGAGAAAACCCTGTTAACAGTGAGCAAAAGTGACTTATTTGACTTTCTTTGTGCTGTGTTTTGTCAGAATTTGAAGGTACCAAAAAAACTATTCTGAAATGCTTGTTTGTTTTGTTTTAATTTCTAATGGTCATACTTTACACATTTAGTTTTTGGTAAGATAAAAAGATAACTTGTCCCTTGGGCTCACTAAAGTCAGTCACGTTTTGACATGAAAAACAGATTTCTGTCAACTTCTAGAGAGAGAGTATCTAGTTGTTTGATCATATTTCTTTCGCGTCATGTAGAAGTCTATGTTTGAAAGTGTGTGTGTGCATCTGTCTTTGGAGACTGCCCGTTGTCCTCCCAGACTGGAGAACCTTCGGTGCATGTACCCATGTGCTTGGTGATTGTGTGCTCTGCCACTTTTATGTGTAGTTTAAAGTGGATATCAACCTTTTAAACTGTGTTATGAGTACTTAGAAGTCGTGAAACAGAATTTTAAAGTTAAGAGGTTTGTTACTAGACATTGAAACTGTATGGAGAGTATCTGGTGTCTTAACTAATTAGATAGATCTGCTGTATTTGTTTTCTTCTTGGATAGAATAACAGTTGATCATTTTTAGAAGAGTTTCAGATTACTTGCCATAAAATGTGTATGTGTCTGAGCTCTCGGCAGTCCAGGCGCGAGGGCGGCGTCTCGCTGTCCTCTCCCTTTGATGTCGCTCATGCAGCTGAGAACTTAGTGGTATCATTTCAAATTCACATAAACCTGAATCAGCTCAGCATAGTAGTTTGTGCTTAAACTACTAGTCAGTTAAATACCGGAGGTTTTATTTGAAGGGATCATATAACCTAAATTATATCTTGTTTTAAGTTAGCAAATCAGTATTTTTTTTAAGAAAACTATGATCCCTGTAGATGTGAGATATTAAGAGAGTAAGTTTTAATTTCCCAGAAATCAGAAGTTGTTTAAAGTCTCAGACAATTCACTGAACAGGAATAATAAATAATGTTTTTTAGTATTTTTGATCAAGAGTTAGTGGAATAAAGCTCTTGGAATGTAACGATGGCTTGCTTAACTTGGTGAGAAGGAGCAGAGCCTTTAAGAGATGAGGTGGTGGTGTGCTGTGTGCCGAGAAGAGACGGATAACAAGGCTGCTCTGTGCTTGGCTTTGAGGCCAAAAGGAGAGGGAGAGGGGAACTGGGGCACACTGCAGATTGTCTAGCCGAGTGAGTACACGGGGATGCTTTACCAGTAAGAAAACAGAACTCACAAAAGGCAAAACCAGACTGTATCAGGAAATCTCTGAAACGCCCTAGCAGGCCTTCTTGTACATTTTGTCTTTTTCCTACTCCCAGGAAGAAGAAAAAGGGTGATGAAAACTACTCTTCAAAACTTAAGTTTAACCACAGAGGAAGTAATTGGTTGATCAAGTGGAAGAAATGTGTCCCTTGGAGAAAGGTAGTCCCACCATCCTGACTCTAATGCCAGACCAGGGATAATGGTGCAGTGCCCCAAACCACTGCAAGGGAACCAGAGTGCAGTGGCTTTTTTCCCTCCAAAAAATACCACAGACCCATGGCCTGAGACACAGAAAAAAGTTGAAAGCTTAAAAGTCTTTACTGTTTGTTGCAAACAATAGTTAAATTGTCCTTATTGCAAATGAATTGGGTAGAGGAGCATATTATCAAAAACAAGGACTTTTATCTAAAATGTGCATCAAAATCACCTGGTGAGCTTTTCAAACTATATACACCTAGGGCCTCACGCCCAGCGGTGCTGTGTATTTTCGGGTAATTCCATAAGTAATTCTGTATCTATCTGTAGTAAGCCACTGATTGAAAGGGATTGCTATTTGTCCCTGAAAGCTTTTAAGTTGCTGATGAAGAAGGTAATAAAGCTTGTCTACATTTTCTTCTCTCAAATGCTTTACGATACCACTTAACCCCCATTCCCTCCAAATTCCTCTTATGAGCTTGGTAGGTGACCTGGTTATTGAATCACTGTCAAGAAGAGAATCATCACTGAAAGGTCAGAGACTGGCAGCCATCCTGCTTCCGAAATGAAACGACATCTCGGTACAGTTCTGAAATGAATTCATTAAATGGGTGGTTTCTGAACTCTCCGTGGTCACCAGGAGTTGTGGGACCACAACAGTGAAGGTTGTTTGATTCTTTTAATAGAATTCTGGCTTAGAATGCAGCCAGACTAGCAATACTCAAAGTGCATTTGACAACCAGTTTTGAGGGATATTTATAATATCTGTGGCCACATAAGTTTGGAAAACATTTAAACCAAGTTAAACAGATTTAGGGGATTTTAGTGTGCTAAAAGGCAGAATGATTAAATGAGTGAAAATAAAGATACGGTATGCTAGACGTAGACTTTGGCGTATCCTCTCCTGACGCTGATTGTCTAAACTTCCTTAGAATACAACCCATCAGGAAGCAGAGCTAACTGATGGGGGTGTTTGTGAACTGAACTTTTAAGAGAAAATGCTTTTGAAACTTACCTGAGGTTGGTTTTTTTACATTTTATTTTACAAGAGTTGGCTATATGATTTGGAAATTTGAAAATAAGTGACTAGTGTCTGGGGGAAATTCATGGGAAACATTTTTCTATATTGTAATGAAAAAAATTCTTGTATGCAAGTGGATTCTCAGAAAAAAGACTTGATACTAATCTTTTGTACGGCCATCAAATCCCCTAAGCTCATATGAAAATAGAAATTGTATGAAAATATGAAAGTGAATTGAAAGACTATCTGGGGCTTTTCCTTCTGTTTATATCTGAATCCCTTAGCTGCTAGCTTACACCTCCCCCAACTTCCACTCCATCATCTTTTTCTTTAGAATTAAAGTGCAGCAGACAACCTTCATACCTTGGGGCATTTTTTTTCTCCTGAAGAAATCTGTATAAAAAGTATTCTTAATAAACTTAATATACTTTCAGTATATTTTTAACCCCTCAAAAAACAAGTTGTTTAAACCTGTTACAAAACTTAAAATTGTCATAATTAGTTTATACATGTTGACAGCAGAGAATTTTACCCAAACAAGTAAGGTGAAAAGAAACTGATCCTGAAATATAGAATGAATGTTTTGAGTACCTACGATGTCATAGGTGTTGGGAATTTAAAATGGAGCCAAACAGATACCATTCTCTCGTCATGGGTCTTTTTATTGTACTGGAGAGACATGTGTTACTCAACCTCACGAATTAATAATTTGAAATCAGTGCCATGCTGAAAAAGCATAAAGTGTAGTAAGACAGTTTAGCCTATTCTGGGGAGGTTGGGCAAGTCTTCCCTGAAGATGTGACATTTAAACTGTTGGTAGACATGCACCAAACAATGTCTGAGAGGGCAAGAAAAGAATAGTGCCTGTAGGCTGCGCAAAGGTTTGAGTGACTTGTGCTAAGTGACAATGACCTCGTTTATTAAGCATACACTATGTG